TATTTAAACATACTATGATCCCTAATTAACTTTCATGTCTGAAATTTTCCTGTGCAGCCTTGACGTATGGTATCTCAGGAGACACAGGTAAGATCAAAGAGTATTTGTAAGAAACAGAAAAGCAACATATTTATAGCCCATTGATCTGCTCAGAAAAATATAAGGCCAAAAAATATACAGATTTACAGCATTCAAAATCTTTCATTAGGCTATGTTTAAGGTACAAAGGAGATGAAGAATAACAGGTAATCCCTGTGAAGGTAAAACATCTAATACCAGATCTTTAGTTAGCAAGTACATCTGACAAGATTCTCTTGACCCTTGGACACGATTGGAATGCTGACACATTTTTTTCCTGTGACCCCATCTAGTTGTGTGGTTAAAAGGTACAGATCATATGGGTATTTGGAAAAAAAATCGACTTTTCAGATGCAGAAAATAAATTTTACCTTTAGGTAGCCTATAAAATTCTCTTTTTTTGAGTTTTTCTCCAAATTGTAAGAATTAACAGATTAATAAACATATCCTGTTAAAATCCATACCTAAAATCATATTTAGCTATTTTATATTTATCTATTGCCATGCTCCCAAATTCGATGGGCTATGAAGCTGAACCGTACTCTGAATGACAGCTTTTCATTAAAAATCATTTCAATAGCATCTGTGAAATTACAGGCACATGCGTCAGACCTCATCTAAAACTGAGATCGCATTTCTTTGATTAAAAACAGTTGTACTGGTGAAAGAACCTTTTCCTTTTCATTTGTTTCAACGTGACTGCACACTGAGAAAACGTTTTTTGTTATTGTTGATATTTCCCTAAATAGGTTGCATATGAAGGCAATGCATAAAATAAGAATTAAAAATGAATGTTTTAAATTTGAGAGTATTTGAATATAACATTGCTGGTATTTTTATATAACATTTTAAACCTGCTTAAACTTTTCCTTTGAATAACAGGGATTTTTTTCCCCTTAAAAATGTGTATCTAAATACAATTTTGTAGGAGTACTATTCAGCCATAAAAAATGAATTAATACTTTTTACAGCAATCTGGATGGAACCAGAGACCATTCTCCTAAGTGAAGTATTGCAAGAATGGAAAAACAAACACCACATGTACTCACTATTAAGTTGGAACTAACCAATCAGCACTCATGTGCACAGTTGGAAGCAAAACTCAACGGAAATCATGCAGGTGGGAGGGCGGAGGGGGATGGATGAAATCATACCTAATGGGTACAATGTATACTATGTGGGTGACGGGCATATTTATAACTTTGACTCAAGCAGTACAAAAGCAATCCACGTAACCAAAACACTTGTACTCCTGTAATATTAGGAAATAAAAAAAATAAATAAATTTTAAATGTGAAAAAAACCCACATTATTTAAAAAGCTCAATGCAGTTTGAACTCTTTGATCTAGGAAGAAAACAACATTCCTTTTGGGATGAGGATAGCTCTTAAGGTGTATAAAGGAAAGACACCTTAAAGACAGTGCACTGTTTTGAAAGGCATAGTCTAAGTGAGAGTGTTTTAGACAACTAAAAGTTAAGCAGTTCTGCATAAAAATGTAGAAGGAATGTTTAATTTCTGGCAGTTGGAAAACTAAGTCTTTTGGGTCTTGGTAGAGAGAGGAGACCTGGGCAAGATGGCAGCTAGGAAGGTCCTAAAGAGAAGGATGATCAGAGACTAATCCCCCGTTGAAGGGATGCTCATGGAACTTGAGGACAGTGAATAAGGAATCGTTGTCTCTTCTGATGCATAATCCAAGCTCCCACATGATCCCCTGACCTTTAGGGGAAGCCCATTACACAGGGCAGCAAGCGCTCTTAGAATTGTTGGAAGAAAAGTGGGTAAAGAAAAAGTAGTTCTGAGAAGTCAGCTAATGAGCTGGGGATTGAGAGTTCAACAAAAGCAGGAATTCATAGTAATCCCCAGCATTCCTTTTGGATCTAGGGATAGGCACAGACTTTGCACAATGCATGAGATGAAGCTAAAACTACTTTATTTGGATATTAAAAGAAAGAGTGAGCACAGAGAGCTAAAATGTAGGGGCATCAATCCAGGCTGTGTCTGCTCAGGTGACACAGCTTATGCAGTGGGGTTGTGGTCAAAACATGGATGCTCTGATGAATCACGGGAACTGGGAGTTTTTGGAGGGTGTGTGATGAACGTACATTAATACTTTGAGTTCTGCTGAAATCCCACTGGGTTGTGCCTAGGGACAAGTGCCCATTACTGTGGTGGTGACAAAGCCTTTCTATTAGGATTATTTTAAGTCTGGGCTTGAATCTGTAAATCCATTTTTTTTTTCAACCAAGGTGATTGTACTTAGGCACCCAGATCCATTCAACTGACTTTCCTAAGATCATTCACCTATAAATGGAGGAAACACTGGGACTCCTGATTCTCTCCTGTAGTACTTTTTTCACTATACAATATTCTTTCTCGTAATTAATGCTTTTTACTTCTAAATCTTCACAATATTTCAGAACACCACAAGTGGATTTACCATATGTAGGTATATGTGTGTGCATGTATTTAGAATATCTACATTAATTCCATTAATTGAACATCTTTTCAATTTTGACTGTCACTAAAAATGTGGCCTTGGGGTTTCCTTTTTTTTCTTTTTCTTTTTTTTCTGGTCAAGTGAAGTGGGGTTTCCTTTTGAGTATCTTCTGGTATACAATGAAACAATTATTTTAATATTACCTGGTCCATAGGACTTTACAAAAATATGCTTTGGTAGAAATATTGTTTATTCTTAGGCATTTATAAGTCTTTTAAAATAACAGTGATATTTTAAAATAGAGACTTCAAATTCCGTCTCTTACATTCTGGGCATTCACTGCTTCTAGAGTGTAAGCCAAAACCAAAATAAGCCTTTTATAGTTTATGCTATTAAGATTCAACTTATAAAAGAAAAAAAAGTTAGACAACATAAGTTATAAAGTTAATACAACTTGAATTTATTATTCCACAGGGAAAAGAATTCTGATTTTTAAAGACTATTAAAGGGGAATATTCTTGAGCTTTAGTCAGTCTCACTAATTTTATGAAATAAATGAACATAGACAACATTTTTAGGGCTGGATGACATACATGACCTGAGCTAACCTCCATTATTTTGATTGTCTTAATACAGACTATAGCAAAATTCAATTGTTTTCTTGATTGTAATTTATTGAAAAGGCAGTTACAAAGTTTCACTTGTTCTTGCTACAAATAGTAAAACATGAACATTTTTGTACTCAAATATAAATCCTTCAATAGCTACCAACTGTAAAACCCGATATTATTTTTCAAAATCATTATAATTAACTTGAAATATATTTAATTGTCAAATTATGTTGTAAAATAATTATTTCAAACAAATCTAAAATTTATTTTTATTTATAGAAACAAGCTAACATACAGTAAAATTGAAGAATAAATACATTAGTTGTTTCAGTATAATACCACAAGCCATCTTTTTCTGCAAAAGGCCAAATATTAGATACAATCACAAAACATTTTAATATCCATTCAAAATGAGAATCATGCAATTGGCCCAGGAAAAACACACTGAAATTCTTCTACGTAACATAATAAGCTAGGGGATATAGAACACTTGAAAAGCAGTTCCAAAAAAAGGAATACTAAATAAACAACACTAATTCTTAGTAAATTTGTTGCGCCAATGAGTGAAAGCATCATAGAACATATTTTAAGTCAGAAATATTGACTGTAGAAATGCTAATTATTTTATATTAATAATTATTCTGATATTAATATCAGATTTATTCTTAGATTTCCTTTCCTGAATTTGTTAATTTGACCCTGGAACACAAAAATATTTCATTCACTCTATAATACTTTTTATTTTTGTTTAGAACATAAATCAATGTAAAAAGATGTATATATACACATACACTCACACATAAAATTAAAAAAGGAAAAAAAGGCATTTAATTTTTAGCCATAATAATGTATATTTTTGATGCTTACACACTATAGGTCACATATATATTTTCATTCATGATAATTTACTATACCTAAAAATTATGTTAAAACAATATTTTTAAAATGCCTATGCATACAATGGAATCCTGCAATTTGTGTGATTCAACCTAAAGGCTGTCTTGGGGACTCAAAAGAAATAAGTTTTCTTATGAATAGTCCTTAAATTTTGGTTCAAATTGGCTGAGGTCAAATTCTAATCAAGAATCATTTTCTTACATTTATTGCCCTGTGTTCTTATGATTCCAAGTGTTGCCAACAGCACTGAGTGGTACTAAAAGGGCCACGTAGAGGGGGAGGGGAGGGATACAGCAGTTGTTCCTATACTTCCAGGACTAGCATCCCAGATGGCCCTGCCCTGGGCTTACTCTAAATAGAGCTAGTGTCTCCAATATGAAAATCTATAAGGCTCCAATTTATGTGAGTTTATAGGAACCTAATCTTTAATATTTGGTGTATAGGATTAGGCTCAATTTCTCCCTAATTGGCATCTCATTATGCTTTAGGCAAACTTTGAGGCCATAATTTAAAGTTCCAAGTGTTCAATTAAGTTACAAAAACATAGGTTTTAGAGTCTGAAAAACATAAAACTTTAACCTAATTAGATTACTTTACTTGTGTAATAACAGAAAAAAGTTGAGTTTCTTAGTCATTAATGGTTGTCCATTCTAGGAACTGTAATAAGTTTGGCTGAGTACTGCACGTTAATAAGACGACTTGATTTTTTTTTTCCCCTCTAAAACCATACTCTTTCTTCAATCATGGTGTAAGACTTCTTTGATGATGATGCTGTATGTAGGACAAGTATATAATTGATCCAAGAAGTCACTAATTTTCTTCACAGTTATATTCCAAATGAAATTTCAAAATAAAAGCTGAATTATTTTATACTTCAAAAATACATGCTTAAAAATTTACCTATTAAGCACTTAATATGTACTTTAAAATGCTTCTTTTTCATCATCAATTAATATTTATCAAATGCCCAGTAGGTCAGTTTTTTTCTATATGTGGTATTTTTATATTACATCTTTAAAACCAACATAGGTGTGTTAATATTGTGTACCTGCAGGATCTTCCTGCAGATAACTGTGCAAAATAAAATAAGGCCATGTAACACAATTTTTCTTGACTGTAACCCTCATTTGGCATAATATCCCAGGTCTTTTCTTTGGTCCAGAAAAGGAAAACTTTCTTTCCCAGAACACTTTCTCCTTACCACCTACAGTTTCCTTTCTTCTGAAATAAGCAGAACTTTTCTAATTTGGAATATTGTTTTGGGATATATGAATGCCATTTCTGGTTACTTAACATTAAGAAAATTTAGCAACTAGATATATGAAGTTTCTCAGCCTAAACCACAGAGAATAAGACCACATATTTGCCTAGTGCAGAACTAGCACCCAGATCTCTTGAATACCAGCCTATTTTCCACTACCTCAACTGTCAAAGAGAAGTTGTCAAAAGGGCTGACGGTCTTAACAGAGGACAGGGTTACTGAGATTCTTTTCTAACTCAAATAAAGAAGAATTAGTTGATAGCTTATATTGGATAGTGCCCTTTAAGAGACATATTTGTTAATTTTAGAAAGAAGAATTCTAAAACTTAAGGGCCTAATCTCTAAAGGAGAGCCGGAAACAATTTTTAGGCATATCAATGCAGAGAGTCTAAGGGCTGAGAATTTGGACAGGCAGGGGAATGAAGAGGCGTGAAGTCGGGGCTTCCAAGTTCTTGCAGTGTCTTTCAGATCTCATTCTCTTACCAACAAAGTTAAAAATAGAAACCAAATAATACTATTTACAGTAACTATTGCTTCTTCTAAGGGATGCAAAATATTTATGATGTATCCTCAAATCATTTCATGAGCTCTCTGTAAGAAGGAGAAGGAGCCAGACATACTAACTAGAAAAAAAAAATCCCACTGAGTTCCATTAATGAAAAATGCAATAACAGCAGCCAACTAGTGTTGTTGTTTATCTCTGTTGAGAAATGAAAGAAATTGTTGCTCATGGCTGGCTTTGATTTACCTGCATTCAAAGAACAGCGAATCCTGCCTTTAAATTGGAAATCTTAATCGGGAAGGAGAGAATAGGCTTAGTGGCCGCTGGCAATGCTTACCAATGCATCTGCAGATCTATATTTAAGTTTTAGGATTTTATATCACAGCCACGAAACCAAACAATTCTGGCTAATGGAAACTGGACAGAGAAAAAAGCTGTGCAATTTCGTAGATCCCAAGACTTTAACAAAAGCAACTGCTAGCATATGTACAGCACTTTACTGTTTATAAAGCTCTTTTCACACATTTAATTTAGTTCCACAACAACCCCGCGAAGTAAATATTATCAACTCCATTGTACGGCCAAGGAAACAAAGGCTTTCTGTGTGTTTACATAACTTGCCTAAAGTCATGCATTTAATAATGAAGAACGGCCAGACTAGGTGTGGAATAGTTCTCTTTCTCTCTGCCTCTCAGTCCCCAACCCCACCTCTTTTCTATCATACTATGAAACTGTCAGATGAGTGGGAGATTGGAACAAAAGACCAAGCCATTTTTAATTAAACATGTGGTGACACTTTATAAACTGAGTCACTCCTTAGGAGACTATCTTACTTATGAATCTGGATTCCCTAAACATGAAGATAATGATTGTGTTAATATCCAGCATAGCACAGGATGCCGTTAAACACTGGTAAAAATATGTTTACATTGTTCAAGAGAAAGTCTACAGAGTACCTTAGGCAATCCTTTTCTAGTCTTCTAATACAGCTTGGCATTCCTCATACAAATCTGACTTTAAAACAACCTCGTAGTGGGGGGAAAAAGATTTTTCAGCCAGTTGACAACATTTTCTCTAACCTTCAGCATCTTAGGAATCATGCTTCTCGTGGCCAATAAAATGTGGCCAATCTAAATGAGGGCACTGCCAGTTCTAAAGTTACCATTTCGAAAATCAGGGTGATTTATGGCTTCTAACAGAACTTTCCCCTTTTGCTCTGAGCAGGTCACCTTCTGCTCAGTATTCCTCAGGAACTCATGGCTCTTCAACACACCTTCCCATCTCCAGGCCACCACTTGGGGCTGCATTTTCTGATGCATAAATTGATTTTATTGGCTGAAAACATAACTTCTCTGATGTCTCCTCTAAATACTAAGGCTGGTGATGAGCTCACCTTGTCCAGAAATAGTGCCCCCCTACATTATTTGCCTTTTAAAGCAGTCAAGCCTTTCTTATATCGAGGGGAAAAATAAAAGAAACCAACAACAGAATATAAAGCCAGGGTAGTTATAATTTTTCCTCTAGAAATTCCCTCTCTGGGAATTAGGCCTGCACATTTTAGTGCAGTGTGTTTTCATTAATACTCCGTATAAAATAATTCATAGTTTTTTGCCATAGCAATGTGAAAATGCACCTAGAAACACGGTCTTGTACCCAATGAACTGATTTATGCTTATCTTAATAAAGTTCATTTGTTCTTGTGATTTCTAGCTCAATTCAACTAATGGGCTAAAAAGTCAATCACAAGAGTCAGGCTGCATGAACACAGGGCTCAGGTTGAAACAGGAATGAATCTGATGGACTTGGAAGATTTAGGTGAGTCTTTCCATATACCCGTACTGTTTGTCGGGCTTCGGTTGTTAGAATAAGAAGTCTGTCTTCTGCTCATACTGTCTGTGTCTTCTCTGTTGAATTTTTGCTTTATGTTTTGGCAACATGGGAAGCTTTGAACACAGTCTTGCAGGAGATGGCCACTAAAAAACATGTATATCCATGGATTGCAGCAACTATTCAAGGAAGCCAGCAATGCAGTGATAGTGACGGTAGGGTTTTCTGAATCTGCATGAAAAATATAAAGGCAGATTATTTAAATAGTCAAATTCGAGAAACTGAGCTCTAGATAAACTCATTTTTCTATCGACTAATTAAAGAGGGAAAAAGTTATGGGTTAGTATAGAAAATGAACTATTTTGTTTATCAATCAGGGAATTGGGTAGTGTTTGGAAATTGCTTGGTTGTAAAATATTTTTGTAAGCAAGGTGCCTTAAAATTAATTCAAATATTTTTAAACCACTGTCAAAATATTTAAACAAAATGAGTGTGAATTTCAAGAGGTTAAGACTATTAAATAATTCATTTAAAAAAATCTCTATATTTTATACTAGCACTAACATGTACTAATGAACACAGCATTTATAGAATGGCTGCAATTTTAATGAAATTTTAAGAGTCTATAACCACATATACCACATTCTATTCATCCGAATTATTCAGGCAAAAGTATGTCATTATGAATCATGTTTCGCAGTTTTAAAGTTTTCAATATTCTTGTAATATGAAAACTGAGGATACCAGAAATAGGTCCCTGAAGGATGTAAGCTTTAGTTGTTTTCCTTTGGTTAATTAGAAATTTGGTTTTATTGTAAAAGAAAATCATCTTTTATTGTGGTTCAAGCAAATTATCTTAAGAAGAATAGCAGAATTAGGAATTCCAATAGGATTCCAAAATATTTTATGTTAATTAGCAGCAGTAAACCTCATAAGTATTATAAGCTTTCCCAATGGAACTACTGAACTGAAAATAATCAAGGGAAAGTCAGTGCTTCCTGATTATTCTTATACTTTCCCTTAATTATTAAATATAAACTTGGATCTTTTCACTCTTGTTATGCCAGAAAAAAAAATTATAGGTTATTTAAGCATGCTCTATGCTAAGATACTACTATTAAAGGTGATCATAATCGTGGCCAAGACTGTATTAGCAAAGACCGGAAATCAACATATCTATGCACAAGTGAAGTTTTCATTAATTGTGCATAAATATTGATAGAAGAATGATTAGACTAAATTTTTTATTTGATTGGCAATATTATGAAGCTTCTAAGATCAAGTAAACAGGAAATGGTAAATTAGAAATAAAGTGTTTATGCTATGTTTTCATTATTGGTATTCATTATTGCTATATTTCAAGAATATTTATTTGTTTAAATTAAATTCACACTAAAATGTTTTATTTGCAAATATAACTTCCAAAGTATATCACATGCACTCCCCTACTCCAATCCCAAGAAACAGAAATAGACAGCGCCTCTTAGATACCTATTTCCTGACTATAGTTATCAGAAACATTCTTGTAATATAGTTAGTTGGAAAAATATTTTTTTCTTACTAAAAGAAAATATTTTCAAGATGCAAACTTAGTTTTTTTGGGGAGAGGGAAGTCCCTGTGAAGTTAGTTTTTCTAGTTTTGGAAGGAATTAAAATGAAACAGGCTAGTAGGTGTAGAAAACATTGTCAGTGAACTACTGCAAGAGCAGTGTGGAGAGGTGGATAGTTGTGTGGTCAAATTAGTGCTGCAATATGATTGATAAATTAGTCTAACAAATTTAGTTTATCAATAATCTTGCTTTGAAATACTAGGAAAAAAGTGTTAAAGTAATTATTATTAGAAAAAATAAACAGATTATGGTGAGAAAGGGAACATTAGCTAAATGCCAAGTTAGAATTCTTGACTTCTCAAGAATCTTTCTCCAGCTTTCTTTAGAAAAATATGTTTTTACCCTTGCCCTTAAGGCACTTATACAAAATTTTTATATTAATTGTGATACTTTTCACAATCTAACAAAAGCCACTGTGCTAGTAACAGTACTTCCCTGAATCCAAGAGACTTGAAAGCAGGGTTTAGCAGTTAGTAATTTGGTAAAAAAATCATTCGGTTTTGCAGTTACGTGACTGACTCTAGGGGACAGTTTCTGGATTTGTGGTCTTAGGATCATTGCACACTACAAATACGGTCCTGGGCCCTGTTCCAGAATTCTGAATTAGGACGTCTGAGGTGGCGACTCCAGAAATCTGCAGTTTTGACAATTCCCCCAAGGTGGGATTGTTACGCACACGTAAGTTTAAGAACTACTGCCTAGAGGATACTATGAAAAGAAATACTATTTCTCTCTCTCTCTCTCTCTCTCTCTGTCTCTCTCCCCTCTCTCCCCACACACCCATCCCTGAACTTTGCTCCATTGTCTGGGCACCTACCGGTCCAGACCGACTTCTCATCCCAGACTGACCACAACTGGATGACAAAGAAAGGCGTCCAACAGACTATGTAAGCCGTCACGATCACAAAAGTCATCTTCACCGTGCGGATCTTGGCGCGGGAAATGCTCTTCACGCTGCTGACACAGGGTGCGAGCAGGCGCCCCTTTGGGAAGACGCCACTCGCTTCCTCCGCGCCCTTGCTCTGGCGCGACGCAGTTTTTCCGCGGACGTTGCGCCAGATGTTATAGCAGATGAAGCCGTAGCAGGTGCCCAGGATGACAACTGGTGCCACAAAGATGCCGCCCGTCATCCAGGTCACGTAGGCGCGGGGACCCCAGGGCTGAATGAAGGTGGCCCAGCAGTCGCGGGCCTTGGTGACATTGTTCACCTCGATCATGGAGAAGACGAAGTACTGTGGCGTGCTCAGCACGAGACTGAGCACCCACGCGGCAGCTATCATGAGGCGCGAGCGGCGCGCGGGCTGCTGCAGAGTCTTGAGCGGGTGGCACACAGCGATGTAGCGGTCGGCGGTCATGACCACCAGCATGTAGGCCGACGCAAACATGCCGAACACCTGCAGGTGCTTCACCACGCGGCACAGCCAGTCGGGGCCGCGGAAGCGGTACGTGATGTCCCAGCACATCTGCGGCAGCACCTGGAAGAAGGCGACGGCCAGGTCGGCCAGGCTGAGGTGTCGAATGAAGAGGTGCATTCGGGAGGTCTTGCGCGGCGTGCGGTGCAGCGCCAGCAGCACGCTGCTGTTGCCCAGCACGGCCATCGCGAAAGTCACTGCCAGCACGGCGATCTCCAGTTTGGCCAGCTCCTCGTTGCGCACGTCCCCTCGCGGGCCGCCGCCTTCCCCGAGGTCTTCGGCCTCCTGGCTTGTGTTGGCACCGCTGGAATTGCCCCAGGGCCCCACCTCGGAGCCCCTGGAGAAACGCATGCTGTCCATGCAACGACTCCTCAGCCCTTCTCCGAGGCCCCGGCCCATGCGGGCCGTTCTCTACCCGCCTCGGAGGACGTGGGTTCCTGCACCTCGCGCGCTGTCCTTCCCGCGCGTGCCGCTCGCCGGGCGCCGCAGTCCCGCGGGCGTCTCGGGCGCGGCGTCCCAGCGCCCGCTGAGCCGCTGTCAGTGCGGCGCGCAGCCGCTCTCCCTGCGCTGCTCTTTTCAACTTCACCGAAGCCCGAGAGGTGCTCTCCGAGCTTCTGAACGCTCCGGGTTGGGAACTCAGTTATTTATGGGGCGTTTGTTTTCGTAGGACGCACTCCCTCTCGCCCTAGTGGATGGAGACTGCAGATGCCTGCTCCCCACGCCCCGGCGTTGTTTTCCCCCCCCTCTCCCGACGTCGGTGATTTGTCCTCTTTGCATCACGGCTGCGGAGGTGGGGCTGGGAGACGCACAGTCCTCGGCATCGTAGGCGGATTCTGGCGCTTTCTCGCTCCTCCAAAAATTTGGAGAACCGGACACGTCAAGCCTTTTCTGGGTGATCGCCGTTTCTTCAAGCCTCCCTCGCTAGCCATTTTACCCCTCCATTTGATTTCCACTGGCGCGGCAAACTCAGTCCCTCGAAATCTCAGGTCCACGCGCCCGCGAGCGAAATCATGCACCTGAACTTGGCTCCTGACCGCACCTCCTCCAGTCCGGGGGTTTCTCCCTTCTCAGCGAGCTCATCCTCGAGCAGCCAGTCTGTGGATTTTATTCCCCGGGCAGTTTTGCCCCGGGAATTACATTTCCCCCCACCTCCCGCCCGTCCTCCCCACCCGCCTCCTGCAGTGACTTAAAGGGCGCTCTCTTCCCAAGAATGTCCTTGATGACAGCAATTTGTTACCCTATGTTTGCAACGCGAAGGTCGCACTCGCTGTGCGTGCATCTGCAGCGGGGAAAAGAAACGTCTTCTGGCTTTCCAGTTTCCCTGTGGGGCCTGGGGACTTGGGCACTTTTCTCTAAATTAGATTTCTGGGGTTTTCTACGGGAAAAGCCTGATTCCCACAGCGGGAATGGCGGGAACTGGGTCGCAGTAGTCCGTGGGGACTTCTTCTGGTTGCTATTTAATCGTGGGGACATCTCTTCGGGTGGACAAAGAGCAGCTGCCGGACAGCTGTCACTCAGGCAGTGCTGTCCAGGGAACCGGAGCGAAAAACCGCCAGGTTCCCGCGCTCAAGGGTGAGAAAGAAGGAATCTCAGGGCAAGAAAGAGGCGCTCGGAAGGAAGAGAGAAAACACCTAACTATTAATTAGTTCCTCTGAACAACTGGAACCCAGCTGCGGGACCTGAGCGAAGCAGACTCACTCCATCAGCTGTTTTAACTTTGCTGAAGATATGCTTCGAAGGACAGCAAGGGGGAGCTGTTTTCAGGCTATTTTACAAGGAAGGAAAAAGAAAAGGGAAAAGGAAAGGAAACACTTTATACGGTTATCTGCTATGTAGATACACAAACATGACTTTGTAGGTCAGAACGTTTGTGTATCGTGGTGCTTGTATAAATTTGATTGTCTCAGAAGAATATCACCATCTGTGAAATAGAGGCAAAAAATATCAAAAGATTTTCCTGGATGCAGTTCTCAGTGATAATTCCACTTTGCTATCAGTTCATGCATGCAGAGTTCCCAAGGTTGTTGCACTGGCAGTGTGCTGGACTCGAAATCTGGAGTCATGCTTCATTGTGGCTTTATGATCCCAGGTCTATGCATCTTAAAAGTGGGAATGAAAGTACCTCCTTTCCTACTCCTGAGGTTATTGGGAGGATCTAATAAGACAATGTTCTGCCTCAAGAAATGCTTTAAAAACTGAAAGCTGTGTTGCGTCGGCTCATTTTCTCCAAGATATCTAGGAGGCAAAAGATTAAAATGGTTCAGGGGTGGTAATAAGTAAAAGGTTTCCAGACCATCTGTCTGGAAAAATCCTTCAAGCAATTTAATAATTACTGACTCAGAGAGGTGACCTTCTTTTAAATCACAAATTACATTATTAGTGCTCCTTATGAGAAATAATGTTGACTAACCCTAATGTCCCTGGGTATTGCAAAAGCGGTCCATTGGCCACAGCCTGGCAATTTTATAGCTCTTGGCCCTACACACTTGAGCTTTTAGGTTTCCTCACTGGAGAAAATCTGCAGTACAGAATCACCAAAATGTCTTTAGATGTTCTCATTCCAGGAGATGTTGTGGTGGCATCTCAGGAAATCATTCATCTGTGTCAGGCAATCCAATCCAATAATCAAACTATACCCAAATATCCAATTTTTAAAAATAACCTGTTAGGTTACTTTGGTGCATACAGATGGAAGATATTATTGTTCAGTGGCAACAGTACAAATTACCCATGTGTATCAAGTATATACATAAATACATATACATATATATATGTATTAATATATATATTCCTCTCCTTAAATTGTCCATTTTCTTCCCTCTTCTTACTGAGAAAATAAATTAGATATTCTGCAGGAGCAACTATTATGATTTGAATGTTTATCCCTTCCAAAACTCACTTTCAAAGTTAATTCCCAATGTGGTAGTATTGAAAGGTGGGCCTTTAAGAGGTGATTGGGTCATGAGTGCTCTGCCCTCATGAATGGATTAATCCATTCATATATTAATGGAGTCATGAGTTAATGAATTAATGGATTAGTAGGTAATCATGGGAGTGGGACCGGTAGCTTCATAAGAAGAGGAAGGGCGACCTGAGCTAGTGGGTTAGCATGCTCAGCCCCCTTGCCATGTGATGCCCTGCACTGCTTAAGGACTCTGTAGAGAGTCCCCACCAGCAAGAAGACCCTCACCAGATGAGGCCCCTCAACCTTGGATTTCCCAGCCTCCAGAATTGTAAGAAATACATTTATTTCTTTAAAAATTACTCAGTTTTCAGGTATTCTGTTATAAGCAACAGAAAATGGACAGACAGCATCCATTTGCCTCTATAGTCCACAGTGACTCCTTCCCCTTTGATTTTAAATTAATGACATTATTGTTATAGGCCTGCAGTCTGGTATTCATATCACTATGATATGAATTATAGCCAGTCAACAACTATTTATTGCACTTCTCTGTGCTAGGTCTTGAGCTGGCTACAAAAAATTATGTAATGATCGCTAATATTTATCAAACACTTTATCTGTGCCAGGCACTGCCATAAGTGCTTTACAAGTATTACTTCACTTAATCTTCCCAGTGACCCTATGAGGGCTGTACTGTTATTATTTCATTTTACATTTGAGGAAGCAGAGGTGCAGAGAGAATAAATAACCAGCCTCAGGTGACACGCTGGTCAGTGGTAGAACCAGAATTTGAACAGAAGCAGTCGACTCCAGCAGCGTTTATAACCTTAACTACCACACTGTGCTGTCACCTGTGAGCCTCCTGTTTTTAGATTTTACAGACTTGTAAAGGCCATTTGATTGGTTATTTTACATTCGTCTGTATGTATGATTTTTCTCCTTTAAGACTGGGAGATCCTGTAGGATCTGCATTGGTTCTTACATATCTTTGGTTTCCTCTTTGGTAAACCAGGTACAGGGCAATAATAGTAGGAGTGGTAACAATACTAGTAGTAACAATAACAATGGATAATATGAACATTTACCGGCATTGATTAAGCTCTTATTTCATGAGCTAAGTGCTTTAAATCCATTATTTCATTTAATCTTTAAAATATTTAAAATAAGCTATGTATAAGGACAGAGTTATTATCATCCCACTTTGCAGATGAATATAACAAGGATTACAGAGGTTAAGCAACTTAACCAAAATTGCAAGGCTCCAAGTGGCTGAGCCAGGAGTCACACGTAGGTCCACTTGAAATCAAGGCCTGGGCTCTAATGTCTATGCCCTAAAACCTCCCATACACATGACAAGCACCTAAAACATCTTTGTGGAATGAATTAACAAATATTGTAATAGAAACTTATTTTTGAGTACTGAATGAATACAAAATTCAGAGAGGGCTTGGTGACTGGATAAATTAGGGAAGAGTTCTCGAGGAGCCGCCTTTGAGTACCTGAATCTCCGTAGCATCCCCCCTGAAAAAGGGGGGTCGGCATTTATATCTAGAAGGCACTTAAATACTTCTAGTTATTCTTCTTCCTGGAGAATCCTTACCTAGTAAGTGTATCTCTGACTTAAAAAGTTCTTCAGTAAATGAGCTTCTTTAACACACACACACACACACACACACACGCAGTACTAGATTCTAAAAAGTGCTGCACGTCAAGCATGGAAAAACATCAGGTGTTCGTTATATTACAGTACTATTCACTCTATAGGGTTAAATTAAAAATGAGAACAGCATTTAGTCTGATTTACGGAGTTTTATTTTCTTATGTGATAATATGGGCTTGCATCTGTGAGTGCAGAGCTGTAACATTAAAGAGAGGCTACTATGTTCAAAAAAATCTTAAATGTCCTGATGTTGGCTGATGAAAAATTAGGATCTCATCACTTGTTCAAACAAACAAACAAAATCCTTCCTAAGTCAGCCGTTACATCATTAGTAGAAAAATCATCCAAAGTGAAAGATTTCTAAAATCAGCATTATTAATATATTCAGAAAATCAGTTTGCTTTTAAAGATTACATGGTTGATTTAATTTAAAATTTTTTAAATGTGAAGTCATTTAAATGGTTGAGTTTAAGACTTTTGCTCCTAATGAATTAATATTCATTTGGATGTTCTGCATCTTCATAAGCAGCAGCTTTGCTGTTGTGTCTAAATTTGATAATCAAGACTCATTCTTTTAGCATGCTGGCAACACTGAATCTATCTCTGTGCGTTCATTAACTCCTTTTTCACAGAAATAAGCTTTGCATTCTTTGAAGGATGCCAACATCAGTAGTTGTGATACTATCATTATTTTTTTGTTTATCTACTGTGAATACTGTTTTTATATAATATGAATGTTTTCTATACATTTTTGCTTCTCATTTTCTTTTTTAAGCTTGGACAGGGTTGGCTTTAAAAATATATTTTTTTTTCTTGTTTTTAGGCATATTTTAATGATGTGTTAAGAACATTATGCCATAATCAGATTATGCATTTGTCGACATACC